TTCAATACTTTACCAACAAAATTACAAAAATTAATGTATATTATATTAAATATACTGAGTATTTTTTTTTTTATAATGTGAAGTTTTTTTGATTGACTGTAATTTTTCAAAATTTCATGATGCCTATTGTAAAACCTAATTAAGGCCTTTCACTCCTGTGACGTCTTAATTAGAGTGCGCCTATTTAAAAGATTATACGGTATCTTGCTTTTCGTCAGCCACGAATGTCACACTAGAGGAACTTTATCGATGAAGCCGACCAGCCCGTGCATTTTTATCAACACACAGTGACATCGAGAAAACTTGTCCTTACAACTGATCAAATTTTGTGGAATACATCATCATTGTAGTGATTGGTTTGCTGTTTGACTATATCTCGCGGCCTGACAAACAAAGATTTGTATATTTCTAGAAATGCATCATTTGTTGTATATTTGTATTCCTATTACAGAGAACAGTAAAAAGTTTGCATATACACCAGTAAGAGCACATTTTAGAAGCAAGGGAACAATTTACCAGTCATTTTGGAAATTTTTCGGGGGATATGTTTATTCCGTGGGGTATGTTTATTTGGGTTTGAAGATTTGTCCGTGGGGTATGTTTATTTGGGACTTGAGAGTGTAGATGCGCGTGGAAAAGGTGAGGCGCAGTGTTGTATATATGCCACCACAGTCCGTGATAGAGGGACTGTGATGCCACTCTGCGTGTACGTGCAAATTTGACTAGCACGTGGCATTCTAATCATAACCTGCGCGCAAACCAGAAGTTTGCTGAGTTGGAACAAAAGAAATGTACGCGCAAATATCAGACTTGTGGGCGTGTGGGCTTGCATGTGGCTATCTAATTATAAATGCCAATGAAATATGGAAGTATTAAGTATGTTGAGAATACAGCGAAATCATTGCAAGAAGTTGCACTAGTCTTCACTCCATATTGATTAACATGCACCACCCATTTGGTTAAAGATCCTTATTGATACAATATTATACATACATGTGTAAGCTTTGGTAAGCTTCCACTTATTATTTCAGTCAATCACGA